CAGAAGCCAATATGAAGATATGACATATTTTACCTTTCTTTCCTATGTTGCTTAGGAAAATGTAACAATGATTTTGCACAATGGCCTACCTTGACCTTTTGTTGCTGTAAATATACTTAATATATAAATGACAGCTCAGTTTGTTCATTCTTTATTTAAAAAGAACTAGTTTGAAGGAGACAAGTTTTAAACAGTTAGATTTCAAGCTAGCTTTTCTATATACTGTATATACTGTAGAATATATTTCCCTTTTCTAGTCAGGAAGAACAAAACTCAACCTTGCAAATGTAATGTCATATAGCATATATAAAAACAACCTGTAGATGCTGGTCTTTTAAACACAAAATAACTGTGCTTAAACATTTGTAACTGAACTTATTGAAAACAGTTTTTCATCTCTACCTGAGTATATTTGCACAATTTATTAACATTCCCATCTTGTTTTTATAGTGGCTATCATTTTCAAGTGGAGATTTTACTTCACAGACAAGATTTTCATTAAAAAAACCTAAGCAAAATAAATTACCCTTGTAATCAAACTGGTTAATTAAGATTTTAAAGCATATGCTCAGAAGCCAACTTTTAAATAAAAGCACAAAAATGATCAATGTACAAAAATAAACTGCCTTTGAAATTTTTTTCTTCTCTTACAGGATCATAACAAATTGATCAGCAATCCTAAAGGTGCTTTATTTCATATTTTATGACATTATTAGATAAGGTAGCCATTTTTTAAAAAAAAAATAACATTACTACTTTTATTCTAATTCTTTTTCAGCAAAGGAAAGGCAGTTGAGACTTAATTCCTACTTAATAGAGTAGTTTTGTTGATTCAGTGTCATCACACACAGATTCAGGAGAGCTTTTAAAATATATCTTGGGCCTGAAAGTTTGCAACTCCATTTTTAATCAACAATTCCTGCTTATCTTTAAATGATTTGTGCATTAATCATTTTAAAGATTGAAAGAAAAAACTAAGACTGCAATTCTAAGCAGACACAAATGCAACTAGTATTAAAATAGAAAGGACTGCCACAGTTAACAATAAAGTGTTTATACTGAAGTATGAGAAATATTTATTCCTCTTGAATATATTAATCAAAAAAGGAGTGTTTTTTTTAAAAGCAGTGATAGCAGAATATGTAAACTTTGGAACAACTTCAACATGCCAAATTCTTATTGTATTTTCCTTCAAATAATATCGAGCAGCTTAAGATCAACTTAATTGGGGAAGGGAAGGGTTGTAAAATAAAGCTGCACAGAGAAAATATTTTAGAAATAACATACAGAGCAATGTGCTAAATACTGCATCAGTTATATCAGATGGCATTAGCATGTATTATGACTAATGAGACTAATGAACAGAGTAATGTCTTAGAATGTTTTAAGTGCTGCATTTAAATAACTAATTGTTTAGGTCAATACTTACTGTCAATGACAGGACTTCTGTCACTGGAATACTGCTCTTTGCTTATACACTATAGGTATAGATCAAAAACTATTTTTATACATTCACACAGAAAATGGAACCTATTTATAGTATTTTATATTTTTGTATACATAACTTTAGAAAAATAACATTCATAGATCCAATGAAAAAGGGGGGGGGTGTTGTTCAGGCCATTTTTTTTTAACATCTTCCCACAAATATAATCAGTTTTATTGGCCATAAAATCCTGAAGGCATATAAATTATTCCTCTTTAGAGAAGCTATTGGAAATAAGCATATGCACAATCAACACAATTCCCAATGTAAAGTAATTTTGAAAGACAGCTGAAGAACATCATTTTTTTTCCTCAAAGCTGTCAGACTAAAACACACTTGAAGTATGTAGCCTTCAGTCAATGAATACAGAGATCAAATGAATTCAAGGTTCCAAATTGTGTATGCTGGAGATATTTAGAGGACTGGCTTAAAAAAATACTGTGGTCAATAGGATAACTCTAACCTCCTTATCAGAACCCAACAGATAACTTTGGTGAGAGTTTTTATTCCACCAGGCATCACCATTATACTGAACTGAATGTTTAAACGGGTTTTTCATTAAAGTCATTCCTACCAATATAATATTTTAACTTCAATCAAACCCTGTCAAAGATTGCTATATAAAATCAGGATTGACACTTTTAAGTCTACTATTAATTTAGTTGCCTCCCAAACTTATTCAGTAGACTTGATTCATAATCCAACTTTCCCAAACTTCAAACATTGTCTCTTCACCCACTATGTGTCATTAGGACATGTGAATCATGTTGGTCACTTGCTCTTAATTAATAATCTCCCTCTATCTAGCCAAGACCAGAGAGAAGAAATAACTTCTAGCTTTTTTAACCTATAGTATATGATTAACTCCAGCAGCAGGTTATGTATGAATTCCTTTAAAAAAAGGAAAATTAGGGAGCAGAGCGGAAAAAGGCCAGTTTTGGAAGACAAGCAAACTATCTGCATCATTCTGAGGTTCAATATGAATTGGTCAGCGATGGTCAAAGGGAGAAAGCGGCAGGACAGGAAGAAAAATCAAAACCGGAAAGATCAATCTGAGCATTTGCAAAATACACAAGAGGGGAATCTGAAAGGCAGACTGCAGGATTCTGCTGGCAGCGTCCACCGGAGGGAAAGGCGACAGTGTCCTAGATGGAAGAGGGAAGAGTGACTGTGGGAGGCCAGTTTGTCAAGACCTCTGGGCCAAAAGGAGGAGGGAGGGGAGGGCAGACCTAATCTCCCCAGGACATTCCTGTGGGCCGCCACATTCTCACAAGCCACCCTTTGTCCTCCCCCTCAGGATTTTGGCCGATTCCTGTACGTTAAAATTCTTGTTAACGGAGGCTCCTGCGCATTTTGCATTTCTCCCTTCCCCCCCCCTTCCAGCACCCCTCAAGTCTAGCTCTCAAATATCAGCCCACCCCCCACTTCTCCCCCACCCTCCTCCAAAAAGAAGGGGAGGCGGAGGAGGAAAGAGGCTTCACCGCCACCACACATTCCAGCACACAGCGCCAGCCAGCTCCACCAGCCTCCGGATCAATAGTAACTTCAATTCTGTTCCTCCTCCTCTTCTCTTCCTCCCCCCCCCCCCCCGGCCAGTAGATCCCAGCAAATCCCACCCACTTCTAGGCTGTTGTTGGGCTTTTTTATCATTAAAAAAAAAACTTCCTTCTCCAATTAAAATCAACACAAATCGGATCGGGGTTTTTTTCCCTTAAAACAAAAAGCTTATTTTAAAAAAGTTTATGGGATCAACTCTTAGCTCATAAGGAAACCGGCATAATCCGCTATTTGTAACGAAATACGGTCTAAGAAAAATTACATACTGAACGAGAGCACCGGGCAGATTGGGACAGATTGGAAGAACAAATATTGGGCAGGCTAACCAGCCCTCTTCTTCAGGTATTCCTGAAGCCCTGAGGGGTGATGCGGGAAATCAGGGGTGGTAGGGTGGGGAGCCCGAAAATATACAGAGCGCCTTAAAAAAAGGAAGAAAGGAAAGGAAGGAAATGTAAGACAGGACTATTTTCCCACCCAAGAACTTTTCCCACTAGTCGGATTAAAAACAGAGACGGTCGGAGGATCCGAGATTGGAGGTGACTTTCTTTCTCCCAGTTCCCACCTAGTTCGTGTGTGTGGTTGTGTGTGTGTGCCCGCGCGCCTGTCCCCCCCCCCTTCGCATGCAATTCTTTTGCTTCGCTCTCGACCAGGAACGATAAAATAAAGGGGAATCTCGGATTCACTCATCAGATTCCCAAACACACACACATACACACACATACGCCAGATCTCGCAGCCCAGCCTGGCTGTAGCTACAAACAGTGGCATTTAAGGGGAGGGGGGCGGAGGAGAGAAGGAGGGAGGGCAGTGTGGGGGGGTCCGTACTTACCTTTTAGTGCTCTTGGTTTAGCTTGCTTGCGACGAGACATCCTAAAAGTAAACAGCTGAAGTTGTTTCAATGTCAGCCCGCTAAGAAACTACACTTTCTTACAACAGATGAGAACCCTGGAAAGTCTTTCTCTCCTCCGCCACCTCTCTTTCTCCCTCCCTCTCTCTACTGGCGGCTAGCTTGGGGGGGCTCAGAGCTTTGCTCCAGCAGCTGCACGAAAACTTTCCAAGCTTTAAATCTTCACCCCCCTTCAACCTCCAACAGCCCCCCCTTTTAAGAACCCCCCATTCAAAAAGGCACCAAAGAAAATGTTCGCAAAATGCAAAACAAAAGAGGGGGAAATGCCGATAGCCACTAAAAATCTTAATTTTATTTTTAATAGCTAAAATTTATGTAAAATTTACATGTTTGGTTTCTTTAAAAAACACAAAAACGCATAAAAACAACCTGATCATTTGGGATTCCCTCCACCCCTACGATAACTGTCTTCAGGGGGAAAAAAGGCTTTTTTTAAAAAAAAAAAAAAAATCTCGACTTGTTTACAATCACCTCTTTGTAAAAAAAAAAAAAAAATCAAATAAGAACGATGAGAAAATTAACCAGGGGGAAAAAAAAAAACTGATGCCAAGGTTGCCAAACAAAAATAAGAAAAAAGAGGGGGAAATTAAAAATCGCTCACCGGAATGCAGAATGTTGCAAACAGGACAAAAATGCCAAAAGATAATAAAAAAAAGAATACTTTGGAAACCTTCCTGTCCTTTCAGGGAGGAAAAATAATAATACCTAAACTAATTTTTAAGGGAACAAAACAAATATATACATAATTTTAGCGCGCTCTATCTCTCTTGGTTATTTGGCTTATTATTTTTTTTTGTTATTGTTTGTGGCATAGAAATAAATATATAGATCTCTGGTTTTGTTGTTATTCTGCTCCTGCGCCCCTTGCTTTGGGGTGGGATTGCCCCCTTCTTTTTGAATCGCCGGGTCCGCTGTAGCAGCCCTGGATTTGGGGAGCTGGATGTTGCTCTCTAAACTCTACGGCTGGCTCGGCGGCGAGAGGAGGAGAGCCGGGAGCAGGAGGAGGAGGAGAAGGAGAAGTGTGCTGTGTGCTCCCTCCTCATCACAAACCTGCAAGGTCTTGGACTGCGCTGTCGCTCCGGTAGTCCACATAATAATGGAAAATGGAAGCAAGGCCCCCAAAGCCATCAGGATGGCTCCAGAGGGGGCCCCTAACCCGCAGGGACTCGCTCTGTACGTAATCACTGAGGAAATCATTGTCAGCCTGCCTGCACTCACACACAGACAGAGGGGCATGATTAAAAGGCGAGAGAGATGCAGAGGAGGAGGGGAGGGAGGGGAGAGACCGCCAAGATCTGGACTGGAAGAGGCGGAGAGAGGCTCAGACCTGGAGCCGGAGCCGGAGCCTGTGCTGCAGCAGGAAAAGGAGGAGGAGGAGGAAGGAGCGGGGAGGAGGGAAGAGGAGGGGGGGGAAGAGAGAGAGAGAGAGAGAGGAAAAAGCAACAACCCAACCCACCAGCCTCGCTCACTCACTCACTCACACACGTACGTACACTCCGCCGCTGTAATGTTATTAGAGCTACACAGCGGATCTCTCTGGTCTCTCCTGCTCTCTTCTCGGAAATTAAAGCAAGGCTGCATCCGAGAGTGGAGAAGGTCCCCCTTCTGGTGGTAGAAGGAAGCATGCAAAAGTAAGATCGCAGCCTTTTGCCACAGATCGAAAGAGGGGGAATATGTTTTAAAGAAGGCTGACCATTGTCGCCGAGTCCGCTCTCCTCCGTTTGTCCCCCTTTCATGAGGCACTCGCCCCGGACCTGCTTGTTTATTTACTTATTTCCTCCTCAACAGTAGAACAGGACCTGTGAATTTTTCACAGATTTCACGGCGGATGCCGTTTGAAGAGCAGTTTTCTTCTTCTGCAAATTACGCCTCTTAAAACAAACGTGCGTCTGGGCTGTTTAAAAAGATATTTTTACATATCTGTTTTATACCTATTGTCGCCTTTTCATTTAAACAAGTGCACTGTTGCCGTCATCTTATTCCCGCAACTTTTAAAGAATTTTTTTTAAAGTAATCACGCAGCTGCCTCGCGTTTACTGCTACGAAGGTTATTATTTGTAAATCTGATTGTAGGGATTGCCTTTTTCTCGCCCTTCGGTGGTTCAACTAGGATTAGGACCGTGACGTCTCTCCAGTTCTGTGAACAAGGGTAATTATTTATTTACTAATAGATTTGAGGGGAGACACATGTCATATAATAATGTCCTCAGAAGTTATGAGGATGTGAACATTAAATTTGCTGAGACCTACATTTTGTTTGATAAAACTTCACTGAACTTAAATTATAATTTAAGGATAATTAAGTCTTATCAAAGGAAGAAAAATATTTTTTCCCTCTGCTCTCACAACCAACTTCCATAACCCACTGATAAGAGGAAAAACTATACTATTATAATTCTGGCAAAACATGTTACTGACGCAGTGCTTTAACTGCACGCCAAACTTACATGGAAATTATATGCCAACATTAAAAAGACTTGCTCATTTTTCAAACGTTTCACAGATTCATCCATTTCAAAATCAAAATACTCTGGTGCTATTGCCTTGTTGTTACAGTTGTGATGTCAGTCCCACAGATGCCTCCAGAGAACTGCCCTTGGGGAGGAGGGGAAGACCTTCTGATTTATGAACTGCACGGTGTGAAGTTATGTACTGCCTGAGTAGATCTTTATTGAGATGCAATTTGGGACATAGGTCCTATCAATCACAGTAGGTAAGTTTTTAAAGAACTCTGTCTATGATCACAAAAATAAATTCCATCAGAGGAGATTTTAATCCAGCGCAATACTGTTTAGGTAGCAAGATTGAAATTCAGACTTTGACCTAGTGATTTTGTTTATGTGTGACAGGAAACATCTGTAGCAACTAAAGGTGTTCCCAAGCAAAAGGGTTAACAGGATTTAGACCTCCTTTTCTGCATGAAGGAAACAACCCTCTTGTATTTTTCAACTAAAAAGTTCCAATTAGTCAGCAAATTCTGATTTTTGTATTTAATATAAAAGTGGCAATGCAGGAGTATGCAAGTAAAGTACATAATTATGTACTTCTCTAACTATTTTTAATATCAGCTTGTATCATTCTCAGGTATTAGAAACTTTGTTTTTTATTGAAGCAAACAAGATTCATACATGTGTATTTTTTTAAAAAGTACTTTATTGAATCAACACTTTAGATACATTTCTTTAACTTCATTTGTATCAGGAATCAGAAAACTCTTGATTCACACTTGCAAAATCAGCTTTATTTAATTGAGAAATTAAAATGAAATAAATACATATATCCATTGGAAATGCTATGCTTAATATCTTAAAGCACAACTGTTGCTTAACCACTGAGGAACAAGTATTGTTTGCCCCAGATTATTTAAACTTGATGACAGTCGTTAAGAAACAAAAAGTATATTGGAGTGCAATTTCTAAGGTGAATTGTGACAGGGAAGCGCATCATAAAAAATATCGGCTCCTATTGTTCCCAAAATAAAAAAAAATCATGTTCATATTCTGTGGCACTCATACTGTTTTATGTGAATGGATAGCATTACAGGAAAAATATTGTAGGTTTTTTTACAGATGGCCTAATTTTCTTTGCTGAAATTGCATTAAACATTTGAGGAGCTATTTTTCAGTTACATGCAAATGTAAGTGATTCTGTCTAAATATACTGTACTACTTTGCACAGCTCCTTTATAGGTTTAAGCTAGGATAGGAAATGTAGTAACAGGAGACAACTGCATTAAGTGCCTATCTCCCCAGTTTTCTAAATGTTTCTTACCCCTCCAGGAATAAATCTCAATTCTGGAAGCCAAGCATTCATCAAAATTTAATCTGTTTCTTTAAATGCACAACAAAAACTAAAGAAGAGCAAAACATAAAGCTTCTCATAAGCTTCAGGCTATATCTATACATGACCTGGATAATTTTCTTAAAAGGAAATGCCTCCTATCCAATTTTACAACCATATAAAAAGTAAAAACACTTGAAATAATATCATACTCTTGCTCTTGATGCATGATTTATATGCTGTCATATGTCACTTTTTTCTTAATTTTAATGTGAGATAAAACTAGGATGGAAAAACTAATCAAGGAGCAAACCATGTAAATGCACCTTATTTTGAAGTTTTTGCTAGTCGTGTTTTAAAATATTCACATATTTTTGCACTACAGAAGTATGGATATAGCAGAATAAATAGAGTGTATAAATGATATGTATTCTCCAAAGAATTTGGTAATATTCGATATCAACCCAAATAAATTCACAGTTTAAAATGTCCACAGCAAAGCATCAAGCCCTTTGAGAACTTTCAAATCTCTGTTAGAAAATTGCAATCCTGAGATCCAAACCACTGGGGGAGGGTGAAATAACCCACTGCTCTCACTATAGATTAGTAAATTTCAGGCTATTTTCCTTTTTCTAATCTCACTTTTATGAATTTTGCCAGTGTGCCACCACAATTCATTAGAATCAAGTTGCTACTACCGTCTTCACAGGCAGCAGGAGTGCAAAGTTTACATAATCCCAAAACGCACAGAGATTTTTCTCAGCACAGTGTGGTTTTAAAAACCCTGAAGTCATGTGAAATAGGAGACCTGACCTCAAGACACTATAAACCTGGATGGTCTGGTTGTGAGTTGAAAGGTCAAGCTTGCTGGGGAAGGTCCTGAGGCTGTTTCAACCTAATAGTAACATTTGATTTGAACAAGATTGTGTTAAAAGCCCAAGTTTCATGAATTCATCTGTATTATTGGCATGTCTGGAACTTTGCTGAAAAGCTGACAGTTTAAAACATACAAAGAGAACCATGATCAAGGAACTACAAAAAAGGAGGATGTAACCAGTAAATAGATAACATTATAAACTGAGAGAAGAAAACATTGTTTTTCTGCTTCAACCTGATAGATTTTCTTTGCATTGTTTCTTTGCCTCCAGTTATTTTCACTGTGGATTTCCTCCTTTATGTGGACTTCCCCTGTTCTCTCATTAAACCATGATTAAAATCACCTAATTTTGTATAGAATTACAAATGTTTTGTACTGGAATTTGTGAACTCCATTAATTGTCTTATGAATAACTGCATTAATTGCACTGAACACAACAGAAAATCTTGCATGTTAAGTGATACCATTTCAAAAGTAGATAAACAGTCACTTCTGACAATTTTTAAAAACAATTTAAGACAATTTAGGATTTAAAAATTTGAGGAGCTGGCATCATTTTTCTGATTATTGTATGCTAGTGACTTAAGAGATACTTTTCATGGAAGAAAATGATCTATTTTGTCAAGTTTTATTTCTAAGTATTTTCACTGTATCAAGTATGGAACTGGGTGCTGAAAATCAGGCTCTCATAAAAAAATATTTTTAAAAAAATTATAAGCAACTAAAGAAATTAAATTGCAATCAATCAGTAAGGACCAGATGGTGTTCAGTGGAGAATTCTAAAGGAACTAACAACCAGTATAACTGAGCTGCTAACACAAATATGTAATTTATCATTGAAAAGACTCTACTAGCAACTTGGAGAATGGCCAAGGTTATACCCATCTCTTTAAAAGGTGTTAATGATGATCCTGGGAATTAAAGCTAGTAATTCACATTTTGGTATCAAAGATCTCCTGAGAAAAAAAATAAAATAAAATCTGAAATAAAATCTGTGATTCCTGTATACTTTTAGCTAACCTCTTAAGTTAATGATTCATGGAGTAGTCAACATGCATGGAAATGACTTAATTTTTGAAGAGCTTGTAATAAAGACACATAGATGTCAAAATAATGTAATATAGCCAAACCTCAGACATGCTCTGTAAATTTTATCCCAAATCTATGTTTACAGTCCTATACATGAGCTTCAACATTATTACGAATAGGTTTTCAACTAAATGTGCACAAGAATGAACTTCCATGAAAGAAAGAAAAAGCACATCTTCTAGTAAGTTCCATGAAAATCAAAGGAATCAATTCCAAATAAAAAGAAAATTCCAATTTACTAACAGTATAAATATGTGCCTACTATCTTCTTTAAATATTAATCAAACTCTGTTTCTTTATGAGGTTGGTTAACACACATGTTTTTACAAATGAATAACTGAGGCATGAACATTAATTACATGACTTCTGGCTATAAAAGGAATCTAACACTGTAGCACAGATGGAACAAAGGCATCTGTGAATTCTTCCAAAGTACATTAAGATCATTTTGACCATTTCCCA